AAAACGAGACTGGATTTTAACATCATGTAACTTATGAATCCTAAATAATGGGAACTTCGCACAATGGGAATCTCTAACCTGGTATCATTCGCTAAAAAAATTAGAACCCACAAATATGGAACCCAAGATTTTAATGTACCAAAACCTTGGGCCATGGTTGATGGAGCAAGGATCTATTTCGAAATTAAATTAGATTCCAATGATGGATGGAACGTGGTCCCTTTTTTTGGGAGCAAGATCCCAAAATCGAAAAAAAGGGGTCCCTACAAGATCCCTTGCAAGAACCATGGGGTTGAGGTTCCAGAGCGAGATCGTCACCCTACCCACAAGGTTCCCTTAACTATGGTCCAACTCATAGGGGTACACATCTAATTTTGCAACCGAGGAAGAGGTAGAGTTCCCTTCTGAACTGATACGTGTTGTGGGAACCACACTTTGATCGAATAGGTTCTCGCTTATAACTCTGAACTCTCCAGTGATCTTTCATGAGGCTTTACTTCAACATTTATTTCAAAGAGATGGAGTATCAGTTGTCTAGTGCCCTACTACTCAAAGAAATATTACAAACAGAGACAAAGAATTGTGCTCTTTATTAAGGCCACTATAACAGTTTTATATCCCTAATAGAGGGGAGGATAGCCTGCTTTAGTGACTCAATCCCAGTGGATCCCTATCATGCAAATGTTTTCATAGTGCTTTGCCCTATTGTAGGTGATTCCCCTTCATGTTGCTCATATGGTCTCTCTCAGCTCCTCTATGAGTGTTGGTTGGCTTGTTGCCTGTGACAAAATTCTCGCAGGTGATCAATTCCAACAAAGGGATATCATTCTACCAATGTGCTTCCAACATTTCAGTCAAAGGAGATGGAGAAACACCACCATATACATTATATTTTTGCCTACTCTATATGGTTCTCCTTCCTGTAACACTTTGAGATGGAATAGTGCATTCCCCGCCCAAAGGATGAGCTTCTGAGTAGCTGATGTTGTGCCCATACTCCTAGAAAGACCATACTTTGTGGATGATGACATGCACGGTAATCTTTTGTGGTCTTTGGAAAGATAGAAAGATTAGAAATTTCAAAGGGAGAAACATGAGGGAAAAAATGTATATTCAAAGCTTACAAATTGAATACAGTAAATTATCAATAAATGAAGGACCTCATTATCAAAACTAAATAAATATATAAGGTTGTCTCACTTGTTAAGAGACTTAATCATTGCATGGGTGTTACAACATGCTAAATTTCAAGGGGTTTCTTGGTCCTGGATTTATGAGTGGAGGCAGTAGCTAACAGATGGATCCCAATTTCGTCAGTTCAAGCTATGTGACACCCTCCCCCATGAGGTGTGATGAAGCAGAAATTTTGATGGTAGTTCTTTGAGAACCTTGGGCAATTTGGAATAAAGTAAGTGATCAGAGATTGCATACAGTTCGATTATGCTCACCTTCTCTGACACTGCAGTGGACCCTAGATGCTAGAACTGCAGAAGGTTAGGCCCTTCCATCTGGTCTCAGATTATTCTTTGCCCTTTTTGCTTGTTTATATGACTATATTAATATTGCTTGACAGGAGGAAGGGAAGTAAAGTAAATCTCCCATAAATGATAACTGACATAAAGGATGAGGCAGAGGACATTTGCAGAGATGGAGGTGTGTCCTTTCAGCACACAGGGTGACCACCAATTCTCTTGCTCGTGGAGATGTGCACAGATAATCACTTTGTTATGAGTGGACCCCTCCACTTCGTAGTTTATCTTGTACCAGTCTCATCTTTTTTCTTCTTCTCTTGTGTGGATCGTTTTTTTTGTTTCTACCAGTAGGTGCTACTAGATGAATATGACTAGATTCCCTTGTTAATGTCCAAGCAAAAAGCCTAAACACAAAGAAGAGAAGAAAAAACTCACATGGCTCAAAATAATGTTCCACACGCACACAAACGCACCAAATGAACACACTTCAAATAACTTGAATAATAACATTTAGCCAAACCAAGAAGCAGAACAAATATTGCCATATAACACCCTAAGCAAGAACGAAGAGGCCAAACCTAGAGCACTTGAAAAAGCCCATAGTTAAGTTTATAGGAAAAAACCTATACAAAGTTTTACTGCTTGACTCTCTGTAGAGATTTAAAAAATGGTCATTTCAAACGAAAAAAGAAAAGAAGAAAAAAAATCAACAAAACAGTTGCATAAACATTTCAGGATATTTCAGGTTGTAGGGAAAGTTTACTCATCTGGTTCTGCAACCTTCATTAAAATGTTTGTTTTGGTGTGTTTTGCTACGATATGGAATGTAACCGGGTGCTTAAGGAATGGAAAGAAATAAAATAAAAAGGGGTGATAAGATTACCGGCAGGGAAAACACTGGCAAGCGAAATAACTCCCAGTGTGGGAAACCGAAAGTAATTTTCAAATTTCGAACCGGGTACGAGATAAAAAGATAAACCTCAGAAGAAACGAACTCAAACGATATTTTGAACCTTGAGAAGGAGAAGAACATATAAGTGAGAATAAAGTATTGCTGCTAAAAACAATGAAGGTGGCAAAGTTCAAACTTGAATTAAGTGACTAGGATGCTGTTAAAAGGATAAAAAGGAAGCATTATCGGCTCAAAGCTGGAAAAAATCGAATTACAACAAATCTTACTGCACTAAAATGGCTATATCAAGCGCTCCAGACAGTAGGGTGAGGGAACACTCTGAGTCTTACATCCACTGCGATAAGTATGCAGTGATGGTAAGAAGAAAGATTGAAAATCCCATCCCGGATCGGTTTCGGTGATGATCCACTCTTCCACATACTTTCAGAAGAGACCCATTTGCTCCATCCATATATATATCGTTTCTTTCTTTTCGATCTAGTTGATCAAGGGTGTTCTCTATTCGCTTAACCAAACTTTGATGTAAAAGAAACCGACGACCTCATAGGCATCTAGAACTCTTCCCAAACCCAATCCATCTATTAATAAAATTTAGACCTGTTTTCCCATTTTTTGATTTCGTGCTCTAGTTCTGTTTGGAGTCATTTCATCTTATCATCCTACTTTTATTGTCTTTATCATTATTATATAAACACATTTGGGCAAAACAATGTCAAAAGTTCCTAAGAACTTCTGGGAACAGATGAAGTATTGGCAGATCACACAAATCAAAATGAATATCTTAATGAATATGTTAATGAGCTATATTAGAAACTAGACAGTGTAATGATTTTTGCTGAGAAGGCTTTGAATCTTTTGGCCAAAAACAACAACTAGAGTTTGATTTCCAGACAAGATCTTCACACTCGGATCAGTACTTTTCATTTCTTTCGTCTAGGGGGTGTTCTAAGTTGTAACCGGTAGCAGAGAGTGCAGATAGAGGAAACAACAATTTTATTTCATCATTCTAAAGTGTTTTTTTTTTTTTGTAAGTGGACTTTGTATCAATAAGTGTAAAAGTACAAGTAAAGACTAGTTACAAACATAGGCAGGCCCAGGAAGTGGGTGCCCAAGGGTTATTTCATGCTCGCAACTAACTTCACAAGTAGCCATAGACAGAAAATTTTCACAAGCCCACAGCATGCATATAAGATCATTCTTGTGAGAGAGTATTTGAAGGTGCTCATCTTAAAATCAACCACCCCACCCCCCCCCCCCGCAGCACAAAGCTAACAGTTTTCAACCCTAATGAGAATTTTACAAGGTTTGACTTATATATAAGGTAAATATGATAACTAGAAAAGCCATGTAAACTGGACAGCAAACCTGCATGCAGGATGTGGTTTTGAATGATAGGAGATATATTATAACCCAATGGACTGCAGTAAAAAGTATACTTAATAAGTTTGTCGAGGTTACCATTTAATGAAATGATAGTTGGTGATGGAGGAGCGTAGGACCCACCAAAATAAGAGATCATCCCAGTTGTGGATCCGATCATCCAACTTTCTTTCCACCGTTCATTATTTCACTGGATGGTGATGACCCCAATGAACTATGGTTTTCCATGGCCCATTAGATCGTAAGATGATTTCCCTTGAAAGAGAAACTCCTCTTATCCAACACAACTAGCTATGGAATGGCATCGTCTGCCTCCCCAAGTACATGACTAAAAGGGACATCGAACCTATCTCTTTTCTCGTGTCTGTAAACTCCCTAAGGAACGGAGCCTCATGGCATCATTGAGACATATATAAATGAAATAGAGCCTTGAATTAGATATGCATAAATACATATCAATGTTATCCAACCATGTATAGCATTGAAAGCCTCTCTTTCAAATATCCGCTGCACTGCTATTAGAATACAAAAATCTGCCCAATGAGAAATGAATTTTGTAGGTAGAAAGTAGCAAGAGATTACTGAGAGTGTTAAAAGTACAAAGCTAGGACTGCCCCTTTTGTTTTGCCGATTCTTTCAGAACCATTGAGATGTACCCATGACATCTTTAGGTACATTATACTGCCTGGAAATTTGCTGTGATTTTAATAAGACCTATTGTCATTGATAAAAATAATAGTAGAGACGAATGAGTAATGCTAGCAATGAATAATTAGTGACTTCGTAAAATGACAGACTTGGAAATTCCTGCCACATGGTACATAGTCCTCAAGCACAAAGTGGCAACCAGTAAAATAGAACAACAACAAAACGTTGCCTGTTTTACTACATTACGTTAAAAATCTCAAAAAATAAAGAAGATTTGACAACAAACCCAAAATTAAAGCCAAATCTAGCTATTATTTGCACAAAGGTGATAAGGCTGTGAAATGTGATATGGTTTTAAAGATTTACAGTCCCTACACCAACCTTCTGAACAGTAAAGTAACTTTAATAACAGGTAAGCATCCAGAAAGTTAAGCATAACATTTCTTAATAATGATCAAATGAATAAGAAATGTTGAAAGAAAAGCATTTAATCAAGATGCATTTAAGAATTATTATGAAAGATCAAAACTAAGCAAAAATAAAATAGAAAAGACACGCCCAAGCCATGTCAAGTGATTGGAACAAACCCAGGCAACCAGTAAGCAAAACGCCACGGAGGCCAGCTGATATAATTCATTTGTCTGCAAAATCCAGACCCAAGGTCAACCAATTGGGAATTAGTGGAATAATGTTTTCTAGCAGAATCACTTGATAACATAGAAGAATTTGCTTGGAAGATTTGAACAGATTTAAAATGACATCCTCAACACCAGGAAAGCAACTTACCTGCGAGGACAGGCTTATCATCAGCTTAAGAAACCAAGGGACACAAGTACGGGTAAATACAGCCAAAATAGCCAAGAATATGCCCAACACGACCATCCTATAGAAACCACAAACATTGGTATGAGCAGCAAACAGCAACTGAATGACAAAACCTTGAAGTCTTGACAAAAATGAAGATAAGGAAGACAATTTTTTCATCAAAAAAGAGATCATCACACACACGTACACACATATACACATACATAAATATATGGGGAAAATATTCCAGGATCAATATTGTAGCAAATTGGCCCCTCTCCCAAATTCAACACTTTTGACACGGGAGGAACCCATAAAGGACCCAGAACTTGAGATAAATCAGATTCCACCCCCAAGATGCATCTTCATAAAAACTAGAATTGGAGCACAAAACTTGAAACAAATCAGATTCCCAAAGTTTGAATCCAAACCATCCATTTGATGGATGTTAGGAACAGGAGTATAAATCTTTTTTTGAAGCTCCAAGGTGCTTTTTTATTGAAGGAGAGTGTCTTAGAGGTTTTGGAGCCTCAGTCAGTCCCTTAACCTATCCAAAAGTCATGGATTTGGGGGAGGGCCAGCCAGCTTAAGGTCAAGGATGATTACATCACTACTCATTATAAAATAAAAGGCAAACATTTCTTTCCAATAAAAGGTAAACCACCATTCCTTTCCAATAGATATTGCCAAAGCATGAAATAATCAGACACTCCATGTTTAACAAAGAAAAGTGGTCAGATGGCTTCATTTCATTTTACAAGAACAGCACATATTATCACGGTAAAGAAAGTATGACATTTTATTCCACACAAGAAAATAATGATTTGGCATTTTTACCAATTTGATTGCATCCCAAATCACATTGTTTCCAAGGAAAATTCCCAAACTCCTAGATCCTGTACATGCAATTTATCATATAGAAGATGGTACTACAATTCCTTGATCCAAGATTGGATTGAAGATAGAGTTCAGTAATAATTCAAGAAAATGGCGAACGATGGACTCAGAAACAGAAAAGGGCATGATTAGGAAATATTGAGTAAAAAAGCACTGGCAACAGGCATTTCCCAAAGCAATGGGAAAATAGTTAGAAGACTCTAGGCTAAATTTGCAAAATGTTTTATCCTGATTGTCCCAACTATGCAAGGGAAGCACACGGACAATGCAATGGAAAATTGGTAGGGCTGCAAGAAGAGAGTGGAAATAAATGGGAAATTGTGTCAAAAACACAGAAAGATGTCCATGATAAAAAAGGGAGATATGTTGAGGAACACCAGGTGTTAATTAAGTATACCAGCTTTTACCATATTCAGGAGCAATAGAAAAAAATCAGGTTTATCTCTCTCTTGAAAGAATCTCTATCCAGAACCGTTGGACAACTATTATAAGTTGGAAAACCCTAAATCTCATCTACATCTGAATTTTAAAAGCATTTGGCCAACGTTTGAAAGCCAAGGCGGCAGTCTAACTAGACAAACCATGTGTAAGACTCTAACTCGATGAACCCCAGAGAAACAAATCTACCTCAATTCACGCATCAATTAACCTTCAATAGCATATCAAATACAAATTCATGGTGGATTAAATAGAGAATAGCCTGCCGCAGAAAAGATAAATCAGCAATCATAATAGGTGAAATAATCATCAAAGACAATGAAAAGACATTAGACGTGTATGTTCCACTTGATTGAAAATCTCATATAGAAATCTTAACAGTTAAACAACATTTTCAGTAACCCAAGAGTAATAATTGATCAATCAAACATAATCTGTAATTTTCGTATAAGTTAATTTAAGTAGGAGACTAGAAAGCCCTTAATATACCATGAAAAATGCATGAGCACGAAGTACATGATGGCGAGAATTTCTGTCCTAGCCAAAAAAAAAGGGTGTATGTAATACTAGTGCCAGTTTTCAACTAGGAAATATGAAGGGAAAGGAAGCATGGACAAAGCATGCAGTACTTACGATTTTGTCATTGATATTATTCCCTGAAGAACACCAGCATTGCCACCCAGAACTGGAAGTAGTGCGAATAATAAGCCAACAGCACAATCCTGGTTGGCAAATACAGCTTCATCACACAAGAGCGAAATTGGGCAAACAAATCTGGATCAAAAATGCCAAATGTACCCTATGCTTGAGAATGCACCCATATTAGAATTGTTTCAAGAACAAAAGGAAACCATATAAATCCAAAATATAAGTGCATCATGCAAAATATCATATACTTAGATAATACAACAAACACCATAAGCAGGAAACAAAGAAGGAATTTCCACAGTGTAGAATGGAGCTAGATACCTGAAGGATCAGGGTTCCCATAGTAACTTGACCATGTAGAGAATTGACACTGTTCCTCTCCATTAGAAACTTCAAAACCTGCATAAACAATAAATGGCTTCTAAGTCAAAAGGAAGAATTTTCCAGGCGTATGTCAAATGATATTCCCGAAAATGTATGAAACAAGCAAGACCAACAAGAAACCAAATGAGCAATCACTGGCATCAAGCACTTGAAATTAATCTCGAAAGTATTTAAAATGTTTAGGCACTCCTAATATTATAAATCTGGATGATCCCCAACAAGATTATGAATAATGTAAGTACTGTGTAGGGATAAGTGCATGCAACCCACAATGCACGCACGCACACACACACGGCGTATATAGCTAAGTCAATAGAGATCACGATTGATAAACGTAAATCCTAAAGCTGTAGTATAACTTGAGAATTCAGGTCAATCATGTAAATCAGATTGGAAATTGATTCCTTCATGAGAGGTAAGGCAATCCTCGATCTACACTGAGTCACGAACTAATTTTGGTCACCACAAATTTAAAAATGCCATATACTCTAAGATTGCCTCCTGTTGCTATTGAGAGACCATTTCTTCACGTGGAGACCAACATATGCTATTTATGATCAGCTTACCATAAAATAAAAATACCAAAAATTCCTTTAAGCATTACAGTTCAAACTACAAGGAAGCCAAAAGATGGTTTTGATGAAGGTCACTGTATTAAAATAAAATGAGGCCAGATTTCCCTCATTATTGTGGAACTGTTGTATTTCCCAGTGGCAGCCATTTGCTATGGCAAGATTCAAGCTTAATCGGAAGATGATAACCACCCACTATTTCTTGAACCATGGAATACACAACTTGGAATGGCCCAATATGCAGTTGGCAGACTATATGGCTCCAATAGTAATACACGATAGCATCCTAAAACCCACATGAATGTGAAAAGTTCAATGACATTGGATAGCTGGTAAGCAAGGACCCAAGTAATGTCCAAATGAGAATTTTCAAGTGTCAAAAGGCCAATGCAATAGTGAGGGCCCATGTCTAGACATGGTTTAGGGCACAAGAACCCATGCGTATGAAAATACGACACTTTTTTCCTTTGTGTCTGATAGATCAAGCTCAAGGTCATCCTTTGAGAGTTCTAAAATGTAACTTTTTTCTGTAAAAAAAAAAAAAAAGGTAAGGGTATACTAATCCACATTATCATACCACACATATCGTAAGAGATATATCACATAGGTTACTGAATCTCTAGTGAAATCAGAACTAATCTGGAAATCAAGCTTATTCAGACACATCCAGGCCACCTCAATTCTTATTATTTGCACTAAAGAAATTCTACAATATCAAGAAACTTTGGACCACAACCTAGAGGTCAAGATAAAAAGTGAACCACACACTGGAATTGCATTATATTTGTTGATCTAATGAAACCCCTTAAGAAAAGCAGTAGGAATACAAAAAGGAAGTTACATGAAAGACATTTTTAAATGTTTGCCTACAAGCATGCCCACAAATACATTTAACATGTGGATTATACCTTCAAGCCAATGGCTTCACCATATACTAGAGTAGCATCACTTTATAATCATAAACTACATAAAGTTTCAAAATAAAATCAAATGCAAAAAAAAAAAAAAGCTAGACCATCATAGAAATCAGTGAGCTTTGTATAAGGTTGCCTCCTTGTATTATAAAAGTAATGCACGCCTCTAAAATTTGTTTCCATCTCTAGTTATAAAATTAAAAAATAGCACAAATCAAAGCAGATCAACAAACACTTGAACATCTTGAAAGTAGCGGTCAAGATAACTTGTTACAGATGCACTATTTTTTGGACTTGGAATTCTTTTTTTCCTTCATGTCCATACATCTTGAGGTCGAGATGCTCAAATAGACGGTTCTCCAATGCCGAAACACTCTCTTACATAGGGTTTTTTTCGGTGCACCTTATTTCAATAGTATAAGGTTGCAACCTTATATAAGCCTTTTCCTATATAAATTACATGCTCTCATAGAGATTTTCACTTGTATAGTCCAAACAACTGAAACTAACCATCCTTTAAATTTTTAACGTTACTTCGATCTATTCTAAGATAAACATACTATTGAAAGTAACAAGCAAGATCAAATAAACTACCACAGCTGTAGAGGACATTGACAAGAAGGTGCCAACAAATACCCCTTCCGAAGCCTTCCCACCACATACCTGTGCAAAGCATACAGATTAATACACTTACAAAGATAACCAAATATTTAACGGAAGATATTTATGGTTACAAAAGAAAAAATCATATACTGAAGATATGATGTCCACATTTTCCTGTAACATATGCTGTTTAGCTTCGAAGGAACAAATCAAGCATCTTATAATGAACAGTAAAATTAGAAATTTCAAATTCAAATGATGATATGAATTCGACATTTTTCTGTAACATATGTTGTTTAGCTTCGAAGGAACAAATCAAGCATCTTATAATGAGCAGTAAAATTAGAAATTTCAAATTCAAATGATGAAATAATTCAAATCCATGAAGCATGGCCAATGAAACGGGCATTCATGTTTGACACAAGTCAAAAAGTGCCTTGCAAGGGGAAAAAAAAGAGCCAACATGATGGCACAAACGTTGAATTCAACAAGAACAGAAAAATATCACATGCGTGCGCACACACAGACACACACACACACATGCGCACATGGCGAGCTCAATGGTCATTTAACCAGTTTCCTGAACTCACCTTTCTATTCTAACTCCCCTTTTGTCTTGGACAAGCACACTCCCAATTTTTTTTTAGATGAATTATGCATTACAATTCACAGGGGTATTTTTAGAAATTTAGAATTGTTTAGGGATATTTTAGAGTCTTCAATGTCTACTTGGGTTTCAAGTTAATTTTAGGGTTTCATAGGCTCATAAAAACTTGGATGTCAAATTTTGGAAGGCTTATGTTATTTGGAATAAATCATAGTTTATGGAAGAAGGAAGCTCTTCTTCTCTTGGCTTGATTTACAGCCATGATTTTTCTCCTTTATTGCTGATTTATTTGCTTAAGGATCGGGAAAAAGAGTGGATTTAATTTCCCACCTTTCCTTCTTGCGTCAAGTTTACTCCGATTATACTAAGAGGTCTAAACGTTAAACTTCAAAGTTCAAATTCGTTTTAGGGAATCTCTACTGAAACAATGTTCCGACCAGATCATAGTCCACCCCCTTTCATTTCCCTCATAGTTGCCAGGATAACCCAACATAGGTGATGATCGTGCTCCGGAGTCTCGCACCCGGGCTCTGAGAAAGGGGTCTTCTAGAGATGTCAATTTTAAAATTTTGGGAATTTTGGGGTCTTGACCCTCACTACTAAGGATCTTGATTCCCACTATTGGGGATCACAATTACAACCTTAAAGACTAAGATAACACCCAAACTAGTGATTTCTTAATTTATAGCCAGCTAGCAACACAATTTTACTTTTAAAATAGCTGCATTGCTTGTTGGCTATAAATAAAGAGATCCCTACTTCAACGATATATGTAGTCCTAGATTGCACATACTCTTTAACATTTCGAGCAATGGGTTACGCCGCTGACAGTCAATGATCTTTTATCTTCAGACCCTACTTCTCACTGGCCGAAGCCTAGACGAATCCTTCGAAAGGCTGCCATGGCGGCCAACGTTTGGGTTATCTGTAAAGAAAGAAATTCCAGGATATTCCAAGGCCTTACTACCCAAGGTCCAACACTATTCCACAAGGTTACATCCCTAGTAACTTTTTGGGCATCCAACCAGCGGATCTTTTTGAGGTTCTCAGCAAATACTTTCCTAAGCCAATGGGAAACATCCTGCACCACTGTCCATAGAAGGCGCAAAAATCTCACAACTGGCAACCACCCTCAGAAGGAGTTATAAAGCTTAACTTCGATGGTTGCTCTCTGGGGAACCCCGGTCATGCAGGTGCGGGAGGTGTCTTCAGAGACCACCATTGAACAATCTTGTTTACCTACTCCGAGTATCTTGGCTTTCAAGATTCAGTATGCTGAAGCAATGGCCCTTCTGTTGGGCATAAAAAGCTTCAATCACTCTTGGGGGCAATACCTTATAGTGGAGGGAGACGCTCATAGTATTATATCATGGGTGACCTGGAGATCAACTCCTCCATGGTATCTCGCTTCGATTTTTGATGAGATCGCATACATCTGCAGGGATATGGTCGTCTTATGAATGCATACCTCGAGGACGTCAAACGCTTTAGCCGATCTCTTGGCAAAGGACGGGGCTAGGGCCCAAGTTGAAGACCAAACCCGATCCATCTCCTTTTTTGCTTTGGACCACAGAGGGTACACGCAGTAGTAGATCTCTTTGTAAAGGAGTAAATTATAAGCCCATTTTTTGTAATCTCATTGTAAATCTATTGTAATCGGGTAAATCTATAAGCCCATTTTTGAATAGGTGCGACTGACCTATTTTTTACTGAGAGCCCTGTCTAGTGGGGACTCTCGGAATTTAACCAATATGTACTCCAACTCTTTATAACAATACAAATGTTAACTTCTATCAAAAAAAAAAAACGTTTGGAGCAAGATCCCCAAAAGGTTAGGATCAAGATACCCCATAGATTGGGATCTCGAACCATACTGTTTGGGATCTAGATGACTAACATATGCACTGTATGGACAGCGCTCTTAACCATAGGGATCTTCTGGGATTTTACGATTCCTCGTCTCTGATCTTGATCCCGCTTTCGATCCCAACAAGTAGACATTTCTCTTTCTCCCCTAGTTCTCTGTTTCTTCTAATTCTCCTCCCTCTCTCTCTGAGATCCTTTCTCTTCTCCCCTGTTGTTCTCAAGAATGCAGGATCTGAGAAAATAAGGGCCCTATAGCCCAGATGGATTTCTCTTGGCCTTTTAGGAAGATTTCTGGAAATTAGAAGAAGATGAGATAGAGAAGATGCTAAATACTACTAGGAGAATGAATCCTGCTTTCCTAAGTCCGATTCCAAATTTTGATACCAAAATTTGGTGGAGCGAAGGATATCAGAGATTTGAAACCCATTGGTCTTACCAAGGGATTGTATAAAATTAAACCCAAGATCTCAGCAATCAGAGTCCTGACTCCAGACTAAGAGAAGCTCTTGGGAACACGATACCCTGTCCACAGAGTGCTCTCATGATAGGAAGGCAGATTGTAGATGGTGCCTCGATCATGAGTGTATAGAGCTCAACGTAAAGAAAAGAGCCAGATGTAACATGAAACTCAATTTAGAAAAAGCATATAATCAAGTGGAATGAGAAGTACATGATGCAATTATGTAATCATGGTTACGGTGGAAAATGGTATCGGTGGATCAAAGGATGTGTGTTCACTGCTACAATCTGAATCCTAATCAATGGCAAACCTTGTGCTTTCCTACCTCGCATGAGAGGTATTCACAGATAATCCCCTTTACCTGTCTCTGTTGGCCATTGTCACAGAGCCCCTCAGTAAGATGATCAGCAGGGTGTATGCTTCTGAGAACCTCTGAGGATTTCATGCTGATATGGGGGGTAAGACCATATCACATTTGCAGTTTGTGGATGGTTGAGACAACATTGAAGACATTGGGCAAACAATTGGATGGAGAACAAGGAGTGCTAATGTAAATATCTGTGTATTAGTAAACCATGTAAGGCATTCCTCTGGGAAAGTGTTGTGGAAAGATTTGGAAGAAAATTGGCTTCTTGGAAAAGCAGTTAATAACCTTTAGTGGGGCAAATAACACCGATCAAAGCAACACTATCAAACGTTTCCTTATGTTATATATCCACTATTCAGAATGCCAATGCCATAGTCTGAAAGCTTGAGCAGCTTCAAAATATTTTCTTTGGAAGGACCCTCAAAAGAACACAAGTTCTATATAATCAAACGGGAACAGATCTGTAGACCAAGAAACACAGGGGATAGTGAATTAGAAGGTTATATATGATTGTAGCTTTGCTCTACAGGGAAATGGTTACAGAGAATTTTATTTTATGTTTTAGTCAAATATTCCCTCAAAACAAAAGAAAATGATTACAGAGATCCTCAAAAAAGCAAGAGCTGTTGTTGAAAGCAATGCAAGAGTGGTTCACGCCAGTTTGGTGGGAGTGAAGAAAATATAAAGACCTACCCAAGTTTCAGGAGAATGGAAAATGATTGCTGCAGCATGTGATCAATTTTCAAGGTTGCTAAATTTAAACTTGGCAATGACTGAAATATATTTTTCTAGAAAGACCTATGAACTACTCAGGAAGGAGAACGTATGTATACTGATGGAATTCCTCAGGTTGAAACCCTCAATTAACAAATTAGAGGAGCGAACTTCAACTGAATACTCTCTCTCAGAGAAAATGAGATCTTCTGGAACCCTGATAACAGTGGGGCAAGTGTTCAGGGAAATATTTATATTTAAACCTCATGCATATAACAAAAAAAAGCATGGAATTGCCTACACAACCACGAGCCCAAGCATCTGTGTGGCTAGCCATCCTTGACAGAAAGCATTAAAGAAGTGGATCATTTCGGCAATGTCAAAGATACACAATGGCGAGATATTGCATGGAGCTTTAGACCAAGAAGTGTCCAAGTGGCTCATTGGCGACCACCAATTGTAGAGAAAATTTAAACTGAGTTTGGATGGAAGTTCTATTGGAAATCTAGGACAGGCTGGAAATAGGAGCTGACTTGGGTTGTCATAACAGGAATATTAGTTCTCCATAGTCAGACCCAGTAAGAATATGTGATTCCAAAAACGCTGAAGCTTGAGCACCGCTGACTGGTATGCACGTCCTATTCAGTATAACGGACCTTAGCGGAGGTGGTAGGGGACCTAAAAGATGTCATAGCGGAGGCCAAAAAATAATCTACTTATTCTTGGAAACTAGCTGCTCTTGTTTGCTTGACACACATGGCAAACCCATATGGAAATTAGAAACTGGAGGATGGTTATTTGGGCATCACCCGGAGTGGGGGTTCACAGTCAAAGGACAGCTCACTAACGGCAAATGTGTGAGATTGTCAACCCCAACAGGAATCCAGTGTTGTGCATGCCGAAAAACAGTCCAAGATATTCGAAAATGGTGGAAGTGCCGCCAAATAAATGCAATTAGGGACCAAATTCTTCGGTTCCTCATTTTGCAAGATAAAGGACCCCCTCAAATAGACAATTTTGGAGTCAATTGTGAGTGACCTAGATCTCCTGCAGAACATGTAATAAAGGACAATGATTAAAGGTGATGAAAACGGATGCAAACTGACCCCGAATTGAGCCTAATGGTAGTCTTTGATACCCCAAGATGTCCAAAAATCCACAGCCCAAAACGACATCGGATGGAGAAGATATAACGAAAACAATTTCTGGCAGTAGTCCACAGGCTATGGAGTACATCAAAGGGGTAAAATTATAAAGGAGGCCCTAGAAGTTAGAGCCCAACAGACCCAAGATTCACATGCATGATAGTAAATGGCCAAAAAACCTTAACCCCAAAATTTTGTATAATTTTAACACCGTTCGGCAATGTTTACTGAAGATTTACTGCTGTTGCATAGTATTGAAAAATAAACATATCATCAAAGAAATTGGGTCAAAATTCTACAACATTGCACATATTTTGGCGAACTTCTCTTTCCAATTTCTCCCAGACCCCATGGAATCTTAAGCTGAAATTCGACTATGCTATTCTTCTTGACATGATCTTTCGATCGATATATATTTCGTGTCCAGTCTTGGAAAGTGGTGAAAACCTAAAGATAAGTTTGGTCATTTTCATGATCATGCAAATCCCAGGCCACATGAAGTGTAAGCGGTTTTTATCAACTTCTCCCAATCCGGGAGAAATTTAATAATAAGATTTGATAGGTTACGATCGTAACTCAATAAGCTATCCAATGGCATAGGGAAAGTCACGGTCAAGGCATGGATTGGGGTACGTTTGAAGGAGAAATTTTATCTGATTTTAACGTGTTGCTGATTTTCATGGTTTTCGTAGTTCAAGAGGCCATAACGAACCTATTGGCGAGCCCTTTGATTCCATGGCCTCGGAATAAAGAATTACATTGAGGAACAGGCAGGGCGAGACAAGAAATCTGTACGGAAGATACATAAAGCTCAATTTTACAAAACCATCACAAAAAGGACTCAGAAATCCACCAAACCTCAGAATATTTTAATCAAATTGGATGCAAATTGACTTTCTCACCGTGATCTACAATTTGGTGTTGATAGATAGCTCGTTTTGTTGTAGAAAGTCATTAACGCCCCATATCAAAGGTATGGGTTGGGGATTAACACTTAGGGAACTTTTGTTCGGATTTTGGAAATTGTTGACCTCCAATTTTTGGCCTTTTAGGTTTGGACGGGACAAAGAAGTGACTTTCGACCCATCAATAGTTTAAAATTTTGATGATACACCCATGTTATCTATATAAAGGCCACACTGTTTTCAAGGATTGGAGTTCATTTGTATAGTTTACGGTATAGAGATATTTTAGAGAGAAAAAGAGAGACATCTTAGAGAGAAAAACCCTAGCCTAGAGACTGGAAAGAGAAACTCCCCAATAGAGATAAAGTAAGTTGTAAAGAGAAACTCCTAGAGAGAGAAATCCTAGCTTTATCTCCAGGCTCCCCAAGTTCTATAGAGAGAAACTCCACCTCCATCAAATCCCAAGCAAGGCATATCTCAAAATCAACCCAAAGCTAGCAAGAGAGAGAACATCCAGGCTTCTTGTATACAAATATCCAAGTAGTCTAAGAGGCTCCCAAACCGACCAGGGAGATTATGAACCCACCAAGTTTGTAAGCATTACTTGCTTAATTGAAAGATCTGTTTTCTTGTACTTGCATGCTTTTATTTTGAAGTCAATTTTATATGAGTATTGACGCATGCAATCACACACACAGAAATGTGCATACAGCTATATTCCATCAGATTTTTTAGTGATGTACAGACCGAGACTCATTGGCAGACTCTTTTGCAAAATAATGGGAACAAAGGAAAGGTATCACATAAATAAACCCCAGATCCGCCTCTAGGTGCATTAGTATTTTGTATCATGATACAATTCTGTCCATTTTGTTACACACATACGACTAAGAAATAAAATGAGAAACATTATATGAAAGGGGAAATTTATCAAAAAGTACCCAAGAAATGAAATATTTAACATCTCACCAGTACAAGTCACCATCAAGGGACACATAATCATAGGTAGGATTAGTAGATATTTGAGTAGTGGTTTGATAAATGGGTGACATTTTATAGCTCATCTCTTGGGTGCTTTTTGATCAATTTCCTTTAGAAAAGACAACTGCTTAATCCAATGCTGATTTACCAAGCTAATATAATTGGATAATATCTGATAGCATAGTTATATAAATATCGTAATATTAATAACTAGAACTGTATTTATAATAACAAGAGTCACCAAAAACGTCAAGGTGTGAGATGCTTGTCAGATACCAATACCACCAGACAGAGAAGTGTACGGGTAAGGTAAAGTGAAAGATAGGAGTAGAAAACAAAAACCTAGAATTTCTCATGTCCAAAGCCAAGTAAATCAATACATAGCAAAAAACAAAGTATAACCAAGTCCTAAATGCATGTGTTCAACTAAACAGAAATTAGTTAAAATTTACCGAGACAGTAATGCCACACAAGCACATAAAAAGAAAGATTTGGAGCAAGCCCCCAATTACAGCAACAGCTCGAACAAGTCGAAGCTGCAGAAGGAAAATAAAACCTAGTCATAACCCCAAAGCACATTGGAACAAGAGGGACATTATTGAAATAAAAAGATCTTGCATTGCATGAATTTGGAAAATTTTGAAGAGGTCTTATCCAAAAGAAAATATACTATAAAGATTATTAAGATGCCACGGTATTTAGGGTCTTCACCATCCATTGGATGAAAGAGAGAGGATGGGAGCCACCATTCAAGTCATAACTCTTTTTGGTGGGTTACACTTTCATCACCATCCAACATGTCAATGGATAAAGTAACCCAAAATGTATGGTTTCCATAATCCTAGATTTTCCCAAAGTAAAAAGAAGGGGAGTTGTGCCTTATAACAAAGTTGTTCTACCTTTGTCATGGAGAACTCAAGACCCAAAGCAAATAGAAGAAATATTACGCCAAATTGTGCAACTGTCTCAACCTATATTAGAAAATATTGAAACAGAACAGGAAGAAATATTAAGTCATGATTTAGATATAATACAAGGCATAGAAACCCAAAACAAACGCAAACATGCTACAACCCCATGGACTATAGGCACCACATTAATCCATCACTAAATGGTGGAGAGAAAATGAGCAACAAATAACTTACTTGCACCATCTCACTAACAAAGCTCAAACCACCAGGCCCAATAATAGATCCTGCCAGTAAATATCCTGTAATAACCTGAAAGATTTCAAACCAGATGATTTCACTGCCTTGAAGATGTTCATTCGATTAGAACCTGAGTAATAATAAGGTTTTAATAGCACCAAAGCTAATATATCATAAAACGTTTATTATGGAAAGACAAAAATAACTCCTCTCGGTAAGTTAGACAAAATCGTTTTTCTCAAGACATATATCAAACTCATCAACAAATCAAATTTCCAGTGGACAAGTTATGTTCAAAGTCCAAACCGGCTGTCCCATGCAAGCAAAGACAATCCCTCCAATTGCTGCAGAGACTGTGACCACTACCAAGTCCGATATCAACCTGAAAATACAGTAGCAACAGTGAGCAAGAGCCAAATGAGTGTCACAAAGAATTCCAAGTAAGGCCAAAACCAGTATGTTTACCTGAGGTCTAATTTTAGCACAGGAAATTTTGACTTGGGATTTGACATTACAAATACATTGTCCTGAAAAGACAATTACCACTATACTTATCAAAAAATAGAAGAGAGAGTGTTTGGTTACTCTTTATGTGTGGATAACCACTCCCAAGACAAGCTAGATCAAGCCAGTAATACATTCAAAAAGGTACAGCACACTTATTTTAATCCAGGTACTTGAACAAACCATTTTATCTATCAAGGTAGGCGTATCTTCTCCTCTGTTCTCATCATCCAACTTAAAAAATTGAAAAGACCTAGTGAGACAGCCATATAAGCACGTAAGAAACCCATTTAACAGGATGAATTTCCACAAGGAACTTAAGTTCAGATGTGAAGAAGTTGCAATTGAGGTCTAAAAAACACTACTACTATTGAAAAATGATTAAATACTAGAATAGAGGTCATTTGAACATCTGACAAGATCTTACTTCTCCTCATTCGAATCATTTTTAGGCTTCTCACGAGTTACTCTAGCCACAGTTTCTAGAACGGCCTGTAAAGCACAATGTAAAAATATTGACTACAAACAAGAGCAGACAAATAATTATGACAGTTACATCAAACCAACAAACATACACAAGTAAACCATATATATACGACTTCCTCTAGAGAACAATTACCCATAATGTATCACATGGATAAAGTAAACTCAATTCACGGAAAAAAAAAAAAAAAGGGCTTGAAAACAACTTTATGCTCCAACCATACAGTTGCGTTGCCTAAACAAGTGCATGCTGATGGCTGGCCCTGAATACCTAGGTTAAATCTTTATGGTTCCAGAGAGAGCTTCTCATACCTTGCATGAAATCCCATTTGTCTTGAAAGACCAAACATATGGAAGTCAATCAACACCTAATTCCAGAAAGGATCACATATAAAAGATACCATGATAATATGCATATATGACACCAAGAGCACAAGGGATATCCCTTCTAAATAACAGTTTCAGCCCATGCCGCGTGGACACCCCTGTCCACGGTATTTGGCATGTATCCATGCACCAAAGACAAAACATCCATGTTACTTTACAAACTTCGATGTTTTAGCTTAATATTTTGGTGAAACGTCACCATGAAAGTATCTAGGGGCACTTAAAATCCTATCTTCCCCCACTAAATGATGCACAGACATATTGTATGTGATACCAATTTTGGGTTGGTGTTTCTGGCACTTCCATCTATGTCAACCACTGATAAGCATATCCCTCTCTTTGTAACACAGTTTTGAACCAAAGCCTTAAGCATGCTTGAATGGGCTTTCAGTTACTCATCCAATCTTCACAATCAAGAAGATGATTTTTTTTTTCTTATAGATAACATCTTTCTTAAAAAATAATAGAAAGTACAAGAAGGCAAAAGAAAGAAGTCTCAGAGATGTCAAGATGGCTCAAGCTACAAGTATAGGATAAGAGGCTTTCGGACAAGGCTCAGGTCTGATTTAGGGATTTCTTCAGGGTGAAGCTTGCCGGTTTTTAGCAGGCCAGAAAGAAGAAAAAGATTTCTAAGGATTGGAAAGAGTTTTTGGAAGTGAAGCTCGATCCTGGGTTTAGGCATGGAAGCTAGGTTGTCTAGGTTGATGATGAGAGGTTTTCATTTATTATTATTTTCTCTTTTTTTTTAATGATGGGATGTTTCCAACTTGGTCTAAGAAGGGTGATGACCTTAATCTTTCCCTTAACCCATCCCATGCCTGGGTAAAAGGGCTGGTTGTGTTCGGTAGGCAGCTAACGTAAAATTTTGCAAAATTTATCATGAATCCTGAAGGCGGACCAGGATTCATGTAGCTGATCCCAATTAATTGGGAAAAGGCTATGATGATGATGATGATGATGATGATGATGATAATGAAGATGGGAGATTTCCAACTAATACTTACAAGCATAATGATAGGTTGGTGGTGGATGATGGTGGCATTACTTCAGTGAAGGAGAAGGGTAAGAAAAATAAGAAGGGGATGGGGCATACAAGAAAGAAAGGGAAATGAGAATTTTAGTGGGCATTACACTATGCAGAAGATTCACTCTTCCCAATATGACCTCGCACTATTCTTAAAACTGAATTTTATTTCTCAAACTTCAAGGAATGGGGAAACGGCCTACACTCCTATTTAGACCCCTAATCTTGCTTGGCTTGGACCCCATATAGTCCTAGATCTGCCCAAGAAACCAACTTCCGAACATTAGGAAAACCTTACGCAACCTTTCTTTCTAATTGTTTAGATAACCTTTAATTTTATGAAACCAAGCACCAACTCTAAAACGGAAACCTTGCACAAAAGACTCCAATTCCAAAAAGGAAAATCTAAACAACTAAGACTCTTCATAGAAAACCTAGAAAACACGACTCCTTTCAATCAATTGTAATTTAGGAAACTAGATACACAAATTTAGAACCAGTGTTCCAAAACTTGCCTAAGTCGACTAAAACTCCAGTGATTCACTCTAACTCCACAAACTACCGAGCCTGCAACATGGTACATAATCCACCTTGTATAAAACTCGTACAATAATTGGGAAAATACTACGACACTACGCCTGAGTATTGGAGAATTTCGGTATGACTCACCTAAGTTGCTACAGTACTCACCCAAGTACTATATACTATGAAGCAGTGTTCCAAAAGGCGGCCCGACTAGCACCTAAGAGAGCCACAGGGACCTGCGCGCCTCGCCCAGGTCTAGGTGGCCAAAATAAGTGGCTCGCCCCTGGACAGCCGCCTATGTGCCTAGGAAAGCGCCCAGCACCCAAGGGCAAAAGTGCCCCTCGTGGGTTGTTTTGATTAATACAAAACTATAAAAAGAGGGGTTTAGGTTCATTTCAAACCTAAATCCCATTAGAGCCCATTTTAGAGAGATAGTAACCTCAAAAAACTAGATTTTTGTGATTTCCACAGGATCGAAAGGTTCTCAAAGTTATGAGAAATAGGTCCAAACATCACCCATTGAGATTAGATTTAGTTTTGGATATTTTATTGGTCTATTAGAGGGCTTTTTAGAATATTTTGAGATTAGAAAACGTCTCAAAGGTGGAAGTTTCGATATCAAGCAATCAACATTAGCAAAAAATATTATTTTTCAGATTGCTTGCATTATTTTGAGACGTCTTCTTCATGATCTAATAGAAGTGGTGATCCGGGTTAGAAATATGGCTATAACCCGAATCCTTCAAGTAAAATTTACATAAGATGCAATTATTGTGAAAATGATACAAATGGAGGCATAAACTGGTTTATGAAACATCTTGCCAGTATCAGGGGGGATGTTGCCCCATGTAAAAAATTTCTTGATGCTATTAGAGAGGAGATAAAAATTTATATGAGTATTGTAAAAAAGAAAAAAGAGGAGGGCGAGGCATCCATAGCAGAGTTAAGGTCTAGGGTTCGTGTCAATTTTGATGATGATGATGAGAATGATCAGGAGGGGTGTGAAGAGGTAGAACAGCTTGCTATATCTGAGACTAGAGGAAAGGGAAACGTAGTTAAACTTGGTTATGGGGGTAAGTTGGCCTAAGCAACATTTGGTTAGAGGGCCAATGGAATGTTTCTTGCCCAGGCCTGACCATGAGGCTGTAGAGAAGCAAACAACTATTGAAAATAGAATCAAGAAGAAGAGAGAGATAGAGCTACACAATACATTGCTAGGTGGTTCTATAAGGCAGACATCCTTTCAATGTCGCTCACCTAACAGCTTCTACACCTTGGTAGAGGCAATTGGCCAATTTCGGCTTGAGTTGAAGCCCTCAACCCCATATGAGCATTCAGAGCCTCTTTTGAAAAAAGAGGTGAATGTCACGAGGGAGATTATGGAGTCACAAAAGGATGCATAGGGTCAGCATAGGGTTTCTGTTATGACTGATACTTGGAGTAAAAGAAGATAAGAAGACAGATGAATTTGTTTGTAAAGTGTCCTTAGGGACTGCTTTTTTGAGGTCTTTTGATGCCTCTAATAAAAGCCATAATGCCCATTACATATTTAAAGTGATGGAGAAGGGCATCAAGGAGGGTGGGGAGAAGCATGTTATACAGGTTGTTGCAAATAATGTTGCTCCTAATGTTGTTGCTGCTAATTTGTTGCGCATAGCTTACCCTAGTATCTTTTGGACATCATGTGCAGCGCACTATATAGATCACATGTTTGTGGCTCTTAGCGGTTTGAGCGATATTTCAGGTGTAGTTAAGAAGGCCAAGTCAGTTACGGCTTTCATTTATAACCACACCTCACCCTCAGCATGATGGGTAGATTTACAAAGAAGGAGATTGTGAGGCTTGAGGTCACGATATTTGCTACCTGACACCTATGCCTAGATGGCATACATTCAATGAGAGTTCAATTGAGGCAGACGTCTACCTCGGATGAGTGGAGAGCATCCAAGTAGTCCAGGGATCAGAAAGGGAAGAAGGCAAGAGATATTATCCTTTCTAACGCTTTTTGGCGAAGGGTGAAGGCGCTCTTAAGGTGTTTTTTCCTCTTGTCAAAGTCCTTGGAATGATTGATAGTGACAAGCCCTCCATGGGTTGCATCTATGAGGCAATTGAGAGATGCAAGGGAGAGAGAGCCCATAATTTAGATGATGGTGTGAGCTGTTATGGGCCTATTTAGAAGATTATTGATAAAAGATGAGAAGTGGGATAGGCAGCTCCATTGGCCATTGCATGCAGCTTGTTATTTTTTTAACCCGGTTCTTTTTGAGGTTGATAGGGATATACACACAAATAACACAATTATGACTGGATTTAATAAGTGTGTAGGTGTGCTAGTCCCTAATCCGGATATCCAGGGCATTATATGCATTGATGGGCTAATAAGTTACAAGTGCCCATTAAAGTATTTTGGGAGTCCAATGGTGGGTGAAGCAAAGGACCAAAATTGATCCAGGTAATAATATTCTTCAAAGAAAAAATTGACAAGATTACATAGGAATGGAACATGAGACGTCGTGCTATGAAAATCCAGCCTCTATCTTCTTGACCCATGCCCAACTCCTTTCTTAAGTTCTTCAAGTTCAAGTTTCATTTCATGTTTGTTTTCCATAAACTATATTTAATGTATAATTAACAGTTGTAATTCATAATCAATTTGCAATCAATTGGTGGAGTCAACATGGGTGTAGCACTCCAAATTTACAAAAGTTAGCCATTCAGATCTTGAGCCTAACTATTACCTCATCTAGCTGTGAGCGGAATTGGAGTACTCTTGAGATGGTAATTTAGTTAACTTTATTAGTTTATAATTTACTAATTTGTATTAGTTCTTTGCAAATTTGTACTTCTGAAGTATTATGGATTTATATTAATTAGTTTCATTTGATTTTATTAGATTCATATAAGAAAAAGAACATGCTTGAATCAAAGAGGCTCAATGACCTAGTCTATGTCAAGTATAATTGATACTTGAAGGAGAGGTTTAATAAGAGAGAAGAGACTGATCCCCTCATAACAAAAAATATGGATAATGCTATGGAGTGTTTGGTTGATGATGATGAGGTCGAGAGGCATGAAAGATTGACATGGGATATGGTCATGAAAGCCTCAGGGACATCAACCGACCCTCCTAGGGCCACTAGATCTTCTTCCTAGAGGACGAGGGCAGAGGAGGAAGCAGAGGCAGATTCATAAGAGACAGAGGAGGACGACTATTATGTTGAGGAGGGAGATGATTCCAATGATGATGGCCTCGACTCCAATGCATATGCTGCAGCTAACCCAACTTTTTCTGATGATGAGTGATGATTGAAGACTCTTTTGAGTCTTCAAGTCTATATTTCTTTCATTTTTCTTTTCCTCATCTTGGTTGTGTATTGTGGTTCATAAAATTTTAAGTTTTAACTATGTATGGCCTCTAGATATGGACTTATGAAGTATGGATGAGTGTATGTAGACTTGTGGAGTTGTAAACTATAGACATTTGATATGCCCTAACTCTTATGCATTACTTCTTATTTTCTATCATTTTCTTAATGATGAATCGATGTCTTGCTAAGTTGCTATCTTGTGTTATATTTTTCTATTTTTAGTTTTTACTGTGTATGGACTATAGAGTGCATGGAGTTTGGATTGTGGTATGGACTATGGATAGGGTCTAATACTCTAATGCTTAATGGTTTGAAGTTTAAACTATAAAGTTTGATTTTTTAGCTTAAAATGTGTGGAATTATGGACTAAAATATGCCTCAATATGTATTTTTTATTTTTAACACAAAATTTGACCTTAAAACAATTACATAGTTATGTATCCCTTGTTTTTTATTCTACTGGGCGGCCTAAGTTCTAGGTGCCTGCCTAGGTGTTGGACAGCTTGGAGCCCCCCGGTTGCCTAGGCGCCACCTAGCGTTTTTTGGAACACTGCTATGAAGTTCAAAAGGGGCATGGAAACCTACGTTGCACATTTTAGCCTGAATTTCAACCTTAGTAAGATTCTAGCCTAATCTAGCAAGATTGGTAATTCATTTTGTATATATAGTTTTTAAGCTTTTTTTATAATTCTTATATTTTGTTTCTTTTTGCTCCCCTATATTTCCATTTCTTTCATACTACCGATTTTTTACAAGCCAATAAATTTTTTTTTTCCAACTACATGTTATGACTCTGTATGAAGTTTCTGGATTTTCTTATGTTTTTCTATTTTCTGTTTTTCCACAATTTTTAGGCCTTGCTTGATAACAGGGAAAAGTTGTTTTCCTAGAGAATCTTTGGGAAACAAGAGGAAGTCTGCTGCCGGCAAATTCCCCTATTTGCTATCCTGAAAATCTGGAAACTGTTGTTTTAATAGATAATTACGTAACTAATTGATTAGAGGTTGAAAATTTTATCACTTCAATGCAATTTCTAAGTTATGACCCATCTATGGAATTACATACAAAATAGACAGTTCAGATCATAAGTTGTTGGCAAACCAAGACATTGTCATTACAAAATAGGAAACCAAAACATCGTCAACATCTGGACCTCATGCTTAAAAACTACTTGCACATAAATATCAAAAAATTGACAAATTTACTGATTTAGTGGTAAATGTAAGAAAATCGGTAAATGTCAACCCACTTATTACTGATTTATTATTTTGTTATTAACTGATCACTATAAAAAAAAATTGACAAAAATACTGAACTCCTGATAAATGTAAAAAAAATAAAAAATAAAAAAGAATTCGTGGTTTACTTATTTACTGTAATTTTTATGAACTGATAAATGTCAAAAAAAAAAAAGAGGAATTTTCTAATTTGTTTACAAATATCAGAAAATAGTAGATTATTGATTCATTATATCTTTTGATTAACTGATACATGTAAAAAATTAACAAATCTACTGTTTTAATTTATTAGGTTTTTCTGATTAACTGATAAATGTCCAAAATTTGACAAACTTACTGAATTACTATATTTTTTTTAAGAATGTTAACTTTATATATAAGATAAATATTTACAAAAGGACCAAAAAATGGCATCCCAAGGTTTGGGTGCTCTGTATACAATAACCAAAACAAAGATGAGGGAGAGAAGAGAAGTTGGTGGGGAGAGAGATGGAGAAAAGGAGAAAAAGAAAGGACAAGATACTACAAAAGTTCAAAAAAGGACAAGATACTACAAAACTTACTGAATTACTATTAATAACAAAAAATCAGTACAAACCATATTCTTTCTGATTAACCAATAAAAATCAAATAATTTAAATTTTTATTGATTTACTGATAAATATCAGAAAATCAGTATCACCAAACTCACTGATTTATCACTATTCTCCAGACTAACTGATAAAGATCAAAATATTGATAAATTAACTGATTTACAGGTAGATATTAGAGAATTAGTAAATTTTAGTAGATTAACTGAACTATTATAATTTTCTGAATGACTAATCAATATAAAACATTGACAAATTTACTTATTTACTGATATATGTCAGAAAGTCTGTAAGTAACAGAAGATTTTACTTATAATTTACTGAGTTACTGATCAATATAAAAACATTGTGAATTTACTAATTTACTGACAAATGTCAAGAAACTAGTTAATCGCTGCAGATTTAGTGATTCATTTAATTTATTCTAGTTATCTAACAAATATCACTACAGCACATTTTCTGAAATTTATCAAATTTCCCAATTTCAACATGACGCATGAGAGAAATTGAGAAAAAAAATAGAAATGAGGGCGAGAGATTGAAGAGAAAGGGCAGACCGATGTGAGAAATAAGAAATTGCTTGAAGCAAAAATATCAAAGAGATTTTGTAGCAGTGGATTAAAGAGAGAGAAAGGAAGAGTCGAGGGCTTGAGGAGCAAAAGCGATTTTGTAGCAACAGATTAGAAAGGGTGGCATGGGTAGAGAGAAAACATGGGTTGAAGAAGGGGATTTGGGCTAGGGTTTGCTCCTGTGATATGCGAGAGGGAGAGAGAAATTGGGAAACAAATGGGCTTGTTTTATACAGGCGAGAGAGAAAGGGGAGTGCCACATTTCCTCCCATTTTGTGGAAATTCATAGCCCACCCTGGGTTGGCCATTTCCCCAAAAGTGGAGAAAAGTGAGGAAATACGGGGCTCCGCATTTCCTCACTGTTCTCCACTTTTCCCAATGGAAAGTCACATGAATGGGGAAAACATGTGTCTTTCTCCTATTTTCCCAGTTACCAAACAACCTTAGTGATTTTTCATGTGTTTAAGGCATTTTTTCCTGGATTGGGTAGGACTTAGGCGAGTCCACTCAAACTTTCCCAAGACACTTGTCTAGGCAGGGGGGAGAATCCTGATGCCGAGACAATTTTTTTTACGTTGGTTAACACAATATACAAAGACTTGTTGAGGAAGCCGGCAATAACCACTAACTAGAGTTCATGTTTGTCGGAATGCACCATTTACATGTCAGATAATGATTAGTCCCATACAAAAAGGCAATCCACCAGCTCACAAAATGGCAATCCAACACCTCACCATGTCAGACATACAAAGGCATACCCCAACTCATGAAGTTCACAATTAATATCCTTTTCTATGAATTTAGTAACAGGAATAGAAGCATGCAATCACATCCATAAAATGCATAAATAAAAGCATGCAATCACATCCATAAAATGTATAAGGCCGGTATATGTCCAGATTCCTGAAAAATTATTACAACATTTATTATCAGCAAAACAAATGGTCTCCAAATACTGCTATGACCAACCTGCTGCTCAGCCACACTATTGTTAAAGCCTCCAGCATCAGTTCCTGTCAAAAAACACATGAAATCAGCATGTTTTCATAACCAAACTTTCATAAAAAATCAAAGCGTCAAAGTTATAAATCCAAACAATTGTCTACAATAAACCAGTAATTAAACAGTCTATGATCCAAAGACTACGTATATGTAATAAACTCCATCACATGGAAGAAATGCAAATAGAGCTCTTAGTTTAAGAGAATAGACCAAACTTAACAAAAAAGTAAAACCTTATAATTCCAAATGCATAGTACTCCATTTCTAATAATACAACAAGTATCTGTATTGGAAAAGTAACATGATTGGGTCCAAGAAGAAAACACAGATCAAAGAATAATTCAAGAGAATATAAGAGCCACACAATGAAATATCAAGAAACAAGATGAAGGAAACAAATAAGTCCATAAACCAAATATCGGGATTATTCTCTCTTTAGAACAATTCCTTTCTTTTAAATCAATGTAGAAAAACTTGCCTCGACCCCAGGTCTCAGCCATACTTTCGCCAGTACAAGTGAACTCGCCTGATTCCCATAGGGGCTTAGAGAATTTGATTAAAAAAAAGTAAATTAAAAAAAATAATATATATATATATATATATATATATATATAACTTTTTTGGAATCTTTGATATATTAAGCCAAATTTGTGTTTAACATAGAGAATTTGATCAACACATTCGAGCAACACAATGTTCAAGAACATAGGGTTCTACAACATATCCTAGCTCTTAAGGTTAGATGATTAGATCTATCAAGCTTTGGACTAGAATCGAACAAATCAAGCTAAGGCTTCTGTAGCAGATACAATCAGGTTCAAAATGGATCTGATTTCTAGAAATTTGGCTGAGGAAATCAAGAGAATCGAGAAAAAGGTGGATCGGGTTCAATAACACGAGGTTATTCAACAAATCCGAGCTTTGGCGGACAGATAAAAAATGTTCTGGCTACAATCGAACAAATCAAGCTAGGGCTTTTGTAGAGGATACAATCAGCTTCAAAATGGATTTGATTTCAAGAAATTTAGCTAAGGCACTGAAGAGAAATCTAGAAAAAGATGGGTCAATTTAAGAGCATAGGGTTCTTCAACAACTTCGAGCTTTTGGGGCCAAAGCAATCAAGGTTTGGGCTAGAATCAAAACAAATCAAGCTAGGGCTTCCGTAGAGGATACAACCAGCTTCAAAATGGAATTGATTTCAAGAAATTGTGACGATGAAATGAAGAGAAATAGAGAAAGGGGTGGTTAGGGTTCAAGAACACAAGGTTTTTTAATATATTATCAAGGAATCAAAGGATTCAATCCAAATCCAAGCTTGTTTTGACTGATTTTTTATGCTGAAAGGTGCATTTAAGGGAGAAAATTCAGTGTTTTCGGACTCAAGCGAGTCCACTCGGACTAGGCCTCGCCATAAGGCCGAGACAAGTTGGGGCAAAGTATAGAGTACACCTCCCTGGAAACATGGAAGAGTACACTACTCAGGCAAGTACATACTATACTTGCTCGAGTAGTTAGAGACTTGGCCGAGTAGTGATACACTCTGAGTCAAATGGGAATTGAACCAAGTCGGGTTTGATTCCTATTCATTATTGAGCCTGCTACATAGCAAGACATCTTAACAGCTTTATAGCTGCATTTTTTGCAGTTTAACTTTAACCCAATAATTATTACTTTATTCCTTAAAACACCACTCAACATCAAAAATCAATCAAAGCAAGCTCAGATTTGAATTGAATCCACCAATATCTTGGCCGTTTCCTTTAAAACCCTGTGTTCTTAAACCTGGCCCATCTTTTACTTGCCTTCTCTTCAAGTCCTCACAAAACTTATTGAAATCATATCCATTTTGAAGCTGATTGAATCCTCTACAGAAGCCCTAGCTTGATTTGTTCGATTCTAGTCCAGAACTTGATAGATCTAGCCCCATAAGCTTGGATTTATTAGAAAACATTGTGCGCATGAACCCAACCCGCCTTTTTCTCAATTTTTCATCATTTCCTCATTTTGAAGCTATTTTATCCTCTACATAAGTCCTAGCTTGATTTGTTCGCTTCTAGCCAAAAACTTGATAGATCTGGCCCAAAGGCACGAATCTATCGAAGAATCATGTGTTCTTGAACCCGACTGGCCTTTTTCTAGATTTCTTTTCGTTTACTCCGCCAAATTTCTTGAAATCAAATCCAAATTGAAGCAAATTCTATCGTTTATAGAAGCCCTAACTTGATTTGTTCGATTCTAGCCCAAAATTTGATAGATTTGGCCTCAAAAGCTCAGATCTATTGAAGAACCATGTGCTATTGAACCTTGTATTGCTTAGGTGTGTAGTATTTTTTTTTTAATCAAATTCTCTATGTTAAACACATTTCACTTTACAAATCAAAGATTACAAACAAATTCATCCATTTTCATCAACTTTTCCAAGCTTGACTGAAGCTTGACTCGGGCAAGTCTACTACGTTGAGGCAAGTTTTTCCACAATGTGAAAAATCATTGAAAACAAATTTTTTTTTTTTTTGAGATTAAAAAATAATTGAAAACAAAAATTATTGGGTTAAACTATCAAACAATGAAGCTGGAAAGCTGCCAAGATGCCTACTATGTAGCAGGATGGGAATCAAACCAAACTTAGTTCAATTCCCGTTCAACTCCCAAGGAGTCGATCGAACACTACTCGGCCGAGTACACTATGTACTCTCCCAAGTAGTGTACACTATTCTCAGCCCCAAATCCACTTGGCCATAGGGAAAGGCCAAATATGAAAGTATTGATTTAAATGTAACTACGAAGACAATCTAGCACTACATAGAACTAGGAACATTCAAGATACCTAGGATTGTAACATTGAAGAACCAATGAGTAGAAAACTAGGACAAACCTTATGTATTGGAAATGGTAGAAAAAGCCTTCTTACCCAGTGGTGAAGTTTGTGGGGAGGCTTTTAGAATTGAAGAGCCAATGTCTCCCCCAAGGGGGAAAGTTATAGGGCCACACTCAACAACCCACTGGTTTTTTATGTGTCCCTCTTTCAGATCATGGTGGCAAGGCCAAGTATGAAAGTATTGATTTAAATATAACTATGAAGACAAGAACGAGGAACATTCAAGATACCTAGGATTGTAACATTGAAGAACCAATCGGTAGAAAACTAGGACAGACCTTATGTATTGGAAATGGTAGAAAAAGCCTTCTTACCCATGAAACGAGTTCCCCACGGCGCATTTTTTATTTTGTCCTCGGACGTTCGAACGTTTTGTTCGATTCCGGTACTTGCGTTCTCATGCCCAGAACTCTCGCGATTGATTGGGAGAAAGAGCGAAAGCGAGAAAGATGGATTGTTATCCATCGAAAATTGATAGGAATTCCCAACCTTCTAATAGATGTTCTGTCATTCATTATAAACATCCAATCCCATGTTATGCTAATAAGAAAAACGAGCGATTGCTAGTCAAAACGAGCTGAGGCTCTGAAAGCTTTCCAACTTGCTTCAATTAGAGAATAGCACAAATGGATCAATCACGCGGTTCTGCAGCGTCCTTCAACTCTCTATCCGCTCCCCTTCACTCTCTTTGCCCGATAGGAAGATTAGAATAGCGAAGGGCTTCCCACCACGCAAAGTTCAAACCTCGCCGGAGATAGAGAAGCGAATTGAAAACCGGCCTCAAATCCCTTCGCAATCGAAGGTGAAAGCAGGAAAAAGACGACGAAACCCTTTTTTCTATCTTTGTCAGCCGACTTGATAGGTGCTCTCAGTCCATATGGTGAAGTTTGTGGGGAGGCTTTTAGAATTGAAGAGCCAATGTCTCCCCCAAGGGGGAAAGTTACAGGGCCACACTCTACAACCCACTAGTCTATTATGTGTCCCCCTTTCAGATCAAGGTGGCCATCACTAATAAATTAGAGAGGGCTGGTTGGGATATTTTATAAAGGTAGCAGTAAGAGTCTCAAGCATAACTAGATCAAGAAAGGAGATGCGCACCCCCTTTTGCCGCTTAAATTGAGGAATCAATTCAATAAAAGGGCTGTTGATGGATGACTACTGGGCGACAAGTGCATGCTGGGGTATAAGTAGGCTACATAGGCAGCGTCTTGGCCACCACCTGTCTTAGCTTTCCTTTTAGCTTAGTTATAAATAGGTCAATATTTGCACTAAGATATGAGAACCCCATTCCACTTTCATTCAATGAATGAAAGAGCTTCTCACCTAAAACTAAGGAGAATTAGTGACGAGGTGCTTAAGATAGATGAACAAAGCACAAACCATTTTGGGCTGCAATGCTAGAGAAATCTGAGAACTGGAGAAATTTATGTGGGGTCAAGCAATGGAAGAGAAATAAAACGATCACAATGTAATGGAACGACATCTGCTTCATAAAAGCCAATTTTGAAAAATTAATTAGATTTGGGATTGGAGGCGAGAGTATTTATTAATCACTAATTTGATGTGTCTTATGTTATGAGATCCTAAACAACCTCTTCCAGCATTTGGCTAGCATACTTTCCAATTCCAAGGTGTTGGTCAGGCATTACATTGAAAGGAGACGCAACATAGGAGTTTGGGGTCCTCACTATAGAAAGAACATAAGGAACATGAAGATCAGGAAGGCAGATAGACCATGGTAGAGTTTGCAAAGAAGAAATTGTGGAGATGGAATTAAGAATGTAATTTTTCAATCAAATCCTTTTCGAAATTTATTAGGGAAGGGAAGGGCTTTAATGACATGGAAAGCAGACCCCAAATTCCTCCTTCATGCGTTCGTAGGAAAAGTTTCCATGCAAAACCTCCTTTTACATAAAACTTATCCAAGCCACAGACGACTAAAATAGGTAACTAGGTATTCAACTAGATATTTTCATGAACTAGTTCGAGGTTCCGGGACATCCCCAAATCCATTGCGGAATATGTTGGCAACTACGACATTGGCCTTGTGTACAATAGTTAGAGATGTTAGCTAGTTCAAAACATGTGCCTTTTGGAAAGAAATCACGATGTTTTCAAGTCACATTTGATTCTTGTCGCTTCGTCAAGATCATACAAGGATTCCATGATTACATGGGTTCTAAGCCTTAATTTCTTCTTGGTTTCAAAAGATTAAGGTCCTTTCGGAAAACCAAACAAAGGATATCAAAACACATTTTAGAAGTTACAACAATTCAAAGAAAATTAAAGCCATCTTACACATTATTTTGTTGGCACTCAACCTCAAACAGTTTCTTGGCTTCAAAGTTAATGACCAAATTTCTAATACCAATCCCAAGACCAAGATTAGGACCGTTTAGGCAAAGCAACCAAAGAATATCACAAAACTCATTTTTACAATTTACAAGTCATAGGAAATGCAAAGCCAACTGAAGTAAGAGGATTTGTGTGAGATAGCACTGGAAGGTTTCTAAGGCCTTTGTTTGGCTTACAGGATCAAGTGACTCTAATGAAGTGACTGCAAACTCTATCCCTCAAACCTTTTATCATTCGTTAAAAACCTTAATTTTGGAAGGTGGTTTTTCTTTGATGGGTAACCTAGAAGTCGATTCAGTCAATGTAATAAAATGGTTCTGTGAAAAGACATGTCTAGAGTAATTCTTCAAAGGATGCCCTTCTAAATAATCTCCAGTCTTAGAACCCAACTAGTGTAACTGTTTCAAATGATCCCCTTTAGGTGTACCCTGAAATCATATGCTCATCCTTATGCTAAGTAGGTTTGGTTACCACATTGGCTGCTATCTAGGGTAATTAACCCAGCTGGCACCTAAGTAGGTTTCATTACCACATTGGCTGCTATCTAGGGTAGTAAACCCAGCTGTCACACCTCTCTCTCTCTCTCTC